ACATCTTGATTATAAGCCTCGGGAAGTTGCTTTTTTTATGGTTGTTTTTGAAATCAACTTTAATTAAACATCAAATCTACCTTAACACCACCAAACAACCTTAGATGAACCTCAAAAATACTTTAAATTTTTGTACAGGTACTTTCATTTTCACTGCAAGTTACACATTTCACATCTTTTAATAAAATGATTTAAAAGAATGCTATTGATATTTTTTAAAAAGATTTAATCTGCTTTTAATGTGGTGCTACTTCGTAGTGAGTGCAGATGTCTTTTTTTTTCTTATGATTTTCTTTTCAATGAATGTCTTTTTTCTCTTAATAAGACTCACGAGAACATTTTGATCAAATTTGAATCCTTTTGATCAAGGGTTATATATTTTTAAGTTGCTAAATCAGGCACGCTGAAAACTTTTCTTTAAAAACATACGAGGTTATAGGTTTTTCAATAAATTAAAATTTTCCCCCAAAGTAATATTAAGGGTAAGCACGAAGTAAAAATGAGGACCTAATTTTTTAATGCATTTTTATGTTTAGAATTTTTCTCTCCATCTCTAAAATCAATTGTTTTATTGGAAACATTTCGTGAGAAATTATTTCACTCAGTTTTATGCAAGATATTTTGATTTTGATTATTTTTATTTCAGATCAAGGATGAGTAGAAATATTTTGTATTGTATGGTATAGGCAGTTTTACATTATGCTGACTATGCGAGCTAAAATGGTAAAAATTTTGTGATGAAAAATTGGAATGATATTGATTGAATAGGTACTAAGAAATAAAAAAAAAACGACTTTTCAAAGATTCACATTTAAAACTGCATACTTAATTTTATAGAAGGGAGACAATGTTGAGAGTTAAATTATCATCTTCACTAATTAGTTTTATTTTATTTTATAACTGGTAACGAGTATCTATGTTAAACTTCATAACCTTGAAATATTGAACCGAAACCAGAATACAAACCCCACAATGAAGCATTAGGGGTAAACAAGCCTTCGTGGGGGACTTTTTTGGTGGAATTAACCCACATTAGCAATTACTGATTAATTAGAATATTTAAAGGTTCAATTTCGAATCAATTAGTGGTTTTACGCAACATTAGTACATAACGTTAGTAAATAAAATGGCCACAATTTAGGATACGACGAGCTCATGATTTGAGTAAAGGTAATTAAATGTAATTTGTATTACTTATTTATTTGATTTTAATTTTGTCTACTGATCATTGATTTAGCAAAGAAATGACTTTTGTTTTGAAAATATTTTATTATTTTGATAACTCTAAATTTGTTTTTTCAGTGCACTGCAAAAATAATATAATTATCTCATAAAATAATTTATTGATCCCGTTAAGACAATAGTCAGCCTCTATTACGAATTATACTTGTAGATCCAGTGTAGGAACCTCTAATGTGTGACGTGATTACTTCTTTACTAGCTTTGTTTAGCATGAAATCGGTGAGTAACGTCCATTACCAAAAACGATAAACAATGCAATCGTCTATCTTTATTTTTTTTCTAAAAGTTTAGTTGGATAACATGGGCGCAATTAACTTCGAAAGAAAAGTTAGCTATTTTTATGGTGGATTGCTATATCATAGAGTAATATGAAGTCATTTTCTGTTTTCAGTTTTAAGGTGAGATCTTCACTTTTTTAATTCATTTTAAAGACTTTAATCATAAAATTCGTTGTGCTTTATTTAATTCTAATGCCTTTTGATTGGTATTTTTCTTGAGATCTTTGATTGGTATCTTTCTTCATAGTCCTGACTGCGGTGAGTAATTTGTCTTACAATTGAATCCTCTTCCTGAGCTATTTTTGAAAAGATATATCGTTTTCGTCTGTTGAAATAAATTGCTAAGTTATTATTCGGAGCATTTTTCATGGGTACCCTGGGTTTTACTGGATACCCTGTTTTGAACTGCGAACGAAGACTGGGACAAGCTGAAGATACAAAATAAACTGTTCAAGAGACAAAAAAACTTCTGACCATTGGTCCTTCAGTGTTTTTCATTTCTTTTCCTTTGGATTGTTAATTAACACATAATGGGTCTGGTACATATGAATTAGAACTCAATTTCTTAACGCTGTTTGTCAATTATCTTTGCGCGGCTAAGTTACCTGATGATTTACTAGCCAGACTTTATCCTATATTACATTAATTTGCTTTTGAATATTAATAATAGTTATTAATTACATAGTAAGCTTAAATAATAATTTAAAAAAATAAGTAAAAAATCGTATGAATAATAGTGTGCCCTTTTATGATGATAAAAAATAACTAAAATCTAAAATGGTGTTATAAAATATTTATGATAATGAGATTTTCGAAAAATTACTACGAATAATCAGAAACTAGGCTTTATTAACCCCTTCAAGACAAGTAGATGGAGAAAGAAGCGCTTTGCCAGCTTCGCATGCTCTGAGTTTATACGCACTAAAGAGTTCGCATGCACCTTTAAACGAGATATAACACGAATGTATCCTATTAAGATCACTTTCGTATGATCTTTGGCCGATAGTGTCAGAAAGGCTCATTTTATCTATGGTATCGTGGGCCGATGACGAAGAATCTTTGTCATCACATACACGTGAAACCGGTTCTGAACGGGTTGAAAAAAACTAAACTATTGGCAACAAGGAAATTTCCATTGCCATTGAAGAAAATCTATGCATATTCCTACACTTATATTCCCGCTGCCGAAAAAATGGTCGGTAAAATGTACCAGTCGGGCATACACGTACATTGAGCAAAAATATATTCGTCGGACCACTTAGTATCGGGAAAGTGACCGTGTCTGCTTAAAAATGTAGATATCTATCTTTCTTTAAGTGTTCAAGTTTCTGACATTATTATTTTTAAATATATAATTATTATTTGTGTAATGTATTTCAACATGCTTAAATTTTTCCAGTTGATGTAAAAATTATCTCTCTCTCTCTTCATATATATATATATATATATATATATATATATGTAT